GCCTTGTCTTTATCTCAAATGGATACCTCAAATGGAAAATGTATGTCTAATGTAGTAGTAAGCAGTTTCACAAATCTTATTTTTATATCCTTTGAGCTTGTATTTCAGGACAAATTTGCAGGGTCCAATATTTCTGATGCCTGTGAAATCCCTCATCTCATTGTCTTGTGTACACATATATTGGATTCTTGCTGTTTCTCATTTAAGAGCAAAAGAAAAAAAAAACTTTTCTTGGCCTTTTTCCAGTGAAATTCTTAAGAAACTTTATCTTTTTGTTTTCTACATTATATACTTGGGGTTCCCATCAAGCACTTCAGAAGACATCTCCTCTTCCATATGCTCTTTCCATATCTATTTAGCTGGGAAGAATTTATTTATTGCTGTTAAGTGAAAGTTTGGTTTTGTAACCTGAAAAAATTCACCTCTATGACATTAGGATTCATTCTGTAGGTTACTTCATGGCTCCAAACATTCAGGCCTTGTATCATAGTAAATTCAATTATAGAGCTATAGTAATTGAAACTATTCTGTGATTTATATACCTACTTCCTCTAGTAGTCCATGCCTGTTACTCCAAGCACAAATTATCTAGAAGTTATTGGATATAAGAACACTTACTCTGTGTAGGTAGTGGGTAGTTTGTGTTCCATTTCAGAAGAGGTATCATTCACAAACCAGTGGAATCTTCAGCACATTTGGATGTTTCAAAGATGAAGTCAGGGATTGGACAGGCAAAGAAAACTAATTGTTTTTAAGATAAACAAGCTGAGCCAATATTACTTCTGACTTCTCTTTTTCTGGAAATTTTGGTTTGGGACCGTAGTATGCATTTTGCTCAAGCAGTAAAATTTTAAATTATTTAAAAAGTGCTTTGCCTCAGAAGTATTTTCTTTCAAACCTATCTGCATATGGTAGTGTGTGGGGGAAGGTAGCAGCAACTGGCTACATATCATCTGTATCTCCGTAGGTGAAGAAAGGGAAAATTAGTGGCCACGACACCAAAACAAACTTTTTCAAAGCTTAAGGCTTAACGTTTGTTGGGTTTTTTTCATGTTCACACAGAGTGCACATATTACCTTGATTCTCTTTCTTCTTTTCTTTTAAAAAGATTTTTGCACAATAAGCTACATAGAACCTCCAGTTTGACTCTGTCTTATTGAGATGTAGAAATCCTTTGAAGGATAGAACCCAGTTTGTTCTAGTAGTTCACTTCACTTAATTTCAGTCTAGAGCAGTAGTTCTCAGCCAGGGTGTCATGGCACCCTGGGGTGCCACAAGATCTTTTTAAAGAATGTCACAGGGATGGAAATGCATATAATTCACAAATCAAACCTAGAGATTTCCAATAGGAATTCATAGCGTCAAAAATTTTCTAACCTGTTGTCATCTTTCTGAGTTCTTTGCAATAGAATCATGCTCTTATTTTTACATGGTGAGAAAAATGAGTAAAAGATAAGAGCTGGCATCTTCTGAGGGGTGGCTTGAGACTTAATGAGGTTGGGAACCATTGGTCTGGATTAGGGCTGTCAGACTCACCATGGACCTTGAACTGGATCTGGACCACAGGGCTCTTCTCAGGCCAGATCTGTGGGTCCAGCAGCTGCAGTGAATCCAACAGGTACCAGGGACAGTAGTGGTAAATATGGGGGTGGTGGCAGGGCCAAGTGTCAGGGTTCCATGGGGATGCAGAGCTAAGCAGCACAAAGCCAATTTTGCAGCTGGCTACACCCCTCCATGGACATGCCCTCCAGCTTCTCCAAATTCCTGGTCTAGAGCAGAGGTGTCAAATGTATGGCCCATGGACCAGATTTGGTCTGTGGAGCTGCTCTATCCAGCATGCTGAGATTCCAGCGCTTCACCAGAAGCCAGGGGGCAGAGAGGGGGAATGGCTTGTCATAGAATCCCAGGGTCTTGAGCTTTGGTGGGCATGGCAGTCAGCAGCAGGAGAGCAAGTGAGGATGGTTGCCCTCCAGTTGCTTCACTTGTTACTACTGTCACAGCCCTACCTCCTCAGTTGCGGGCCCCATGCTGGAGTTGCTGCCATGGTCACGGGGCGCACAGCAAGAGCTGGAGCTGCATTGTGTGCCTTGGGTTGGAGCCAAAACTGCCACTGCTGCATCAGGTCAGAACTGGAACTGCTGCTGCTGTGTGCACTGGGCTGGATCCAGCCCTGAAGGATCCCCGCTTTCTGGATCTGGCCCATGGCACACAGTAAGTTTGACACGGCTGGTTTAAAGGAATAAGTCTCTAACTACATGTTATTTACACATCTTAATAGACTAAATATTTTCCCTAACACAACATTTATCACTGAATAAAGTAAGTGAATTAAGAGTTCAGCGCACAGAATAAATGGGCCTCTTCAAATAGTCTCCAATAGAAGTTTTATAAGAAAAGTCTGTGTCTGGGTACCTTTCCAAGTGGTGAAAGGAGGACTTTATCGGTTTGATCTCCATAATATCATAATGTCTCTTTTTGGGCCACTGACTTCCTTAGCAGGTTTGATCGTTCATTAGTGCCAAAGATTTCTTCTCAAATTCATAACCAAAGGATTATTTTTAGCTAGATGCCCAAAACATGCCAAGGGGGGTGCACAATGCCATCAGTCAACTGAATGCTTAGATTTATTGTGTGAGAGAAGTTGATTTGCTCTGACAGATGTAGTATTAATCCTTCAGCATTGATAAATAGTACAAGGAATAAGTTGCAGTCTTAATATATTAATACATTTTCACTGTCATATGTTAATGCAATTGCAAGGGAAAAAATTAAATTAGAAATTATTTTCTTATGAAGTATTTAATTTAATTTAAATTTATTTTGAGAGACACAAGTGGAGATGCTTTCATTGACATGACACGTGTTTCTCTTGCTGTCGTGGAGTAATTGCTTGTTGTTCCTCCGCATCCTTTGTAGTGTTAATTATTTCGTATACAACATGCTGCTGCTTTTCCTCTGACTTCTATTGGTTCAGATAGAAATGGTTGTTGAAAACTGAAAGGATGCAATGTTCAGAAGTTGTCATCATTGTTTCTATTGTAAAATCTTCTGTGCCACTTACCAGGGCTGTGCGAAATTTTGATGGGTGTTTAGTTGCGAAGCTGTTTCGATGCGTTTTGAGCTTTAAAACAGAAAAATTGAAATGAAACAAAAGACTTGGAAACAGCTTTGAAATGAAATAAGGGCACTCAAAACGTTTCAAAGCAGCCCAGTGATGGGAGGCGGAGGAGAGCCAGGGCTGCGCTCGGAGTGGCTCTGCCAGCCCCACAGAGCTCAGCCTGGCAGCAGGAGCACCAGTGGCAGAGCTGCTCGGAGCGCAGCCCTGGCCAGTAGCTCTCCTGAGCCTCCTGCCACCAGGCTGTGCTCACCAGGGTTGTGCTCCAAGCGGCTCCACCACTGGCTCTCCCACTGCTGGGCTGAGCTCAGTAGGGCCGGTGGAGCTGCTTGCAGTGCAGCCTGGAGGTGGGGAGAGCCAGGGCTGCTCTGAGTGGCTCCACCAGCCCCATGGAGCTCAACTTGCCCTCCTAGCACTGCCTACTCTTCCCGGGGGTGCAGCCCCCCAGATCTGTGTGTGGGATGACAGGAGGCTGCCACTCCTGCCTGGAGCCAGTGGAGGCAACAGTTTTCCTGCTTCTGGGTGCAGGCTGCACCCAGTGCCAGTCCCAGGCAGTAGCGGCAGCCTACTGTCATCCCATGCACAGATCCGGAGGGCTCGCACCCCTGGAGGAGTCCAGCACAGCCCTCCTGAAGGCATGGGCCCCTAGATCTGGTGCTGGCAAATGATATGAATTTTGCTTTTAGCAGTTTGAGGTGCAGTTTCCCAGAAACCCCTGCACCTATCTCCTTAAATCTTGGCAGGTGGCGTCATGCCCTCAGAAGGTGCTACCATCCCTGCAATTTTCATCCGAATCAGGCAAGAAATGACACATAGGCATTTTCATCATTCCCCATTATAGTCTATGGGCAAAACGGGAAAACTTGTTGAAACGGCAGAATAGTTTTGACAAAACAAAATGGAACAGTGCTTTGAAATGAAACACTATCCCTTCAAAATGGCGAAACAGAAGTAGAAATGGAACGGTGCTGTTTCTCACAGCCCTACCACGTGTGCTTCTATTTGTACTTTTTATCTTATGCTTTTGTTTTGGTAAACCATATCTGATAGGTCACCATTGAAATTCAGATTATCCTTCTAACTTTCCAGCTCCCTTGTTCTATAATTTTTTGTCAACAGAAATCCCCGCCCTACCCTGACACCCTCATATTATGGCTCTTGTGGAAACTTGATACAGTTTTTTCTGTGGGTGGTGATCTTTTCAAAACATTTGATTGCTAAGATCAGAATGATTTGCTAACTCCCATGTGGTGATTTGGGACAAAAAATGTCTTCTTACTTCAGCATCACCCTTTACACCCTTGTGGTAAAATGGCAGCCTGCAGCAGCAACTTGGAGAGACATGCTTCTGCTACCCAGTAGAACTGCCCTGCATGCCTCTGTTTGGGGGAGCATATTAGAGCTGAACCTGGAAGAGCTAAAACAGAAATGACACCTGCATACATAATGTAAGGCAGACAAGCACTTCTCATTTAGTCTCAGACATGCCTTCTGAAAATGGAGGTGTGCGAGGCAATGGAGGTGCTGGTGTCTCAGCAACCCTGGCAGGTTTTTGTGGCAGCCCAGTTGAGAACCAGTGCTTTAGAGGCAGGAGGTAAAGTAGTGTTATGTGTAGACTAGGAAATTTTCTAGTAAGATCAGTAGAGTGGTGATGTCATCTCAATAGCTTACATTGACAAATGTCACTTGCTACTTAGGTGTGTGTACTGGGACCTTTTTAAGCAACTGAATGAAAATATACTGGTGGAGTTTTCAAAACAGTCTAGGCAATATAAACATAATTTTAGATCTATTCATCCATTAAACAGAATTTCAGCTACAAAGGTTGTTGGTTACAATATATTTTCCAGTACTTACAGTATTTTTTTATGCATCTTTGTAACAGGAACATGAATCTGAAGGTGGAAGGACACCACTAATGAAGGCTGCAAGAGCTGGTCACTTATGCACTGTACAATTTCTCATTAGCAAAGGTAAAATATTAGTATCCACTTTAAAATTCTCAAGTGTCACTTTAGTCACTTATGCTGCTTTTATATAGCACAGGGGCTGGCAACATTTTTGGGCAGAGTGCCAAAAGGCCCTGGCACCTTGGCTTGTAAGATGCTGGTGTGCCAGGGGCAGATAGTGGGGGAGCCGCGAGAGGCCTGATCCTTGTTGTGGCAGCACATCCCTGGCCCCAGCCCCTTCCCCAATGTCCACCTTGAGACATGCATGGACCTGCTGTCAGTAATGAGCCGGGCTGGGGCTCCACAGACCCTGGTGCAGCTGTTTGTAGTCTCCCTGCTGTGAGCGGCCCAGGCTTCATGGCTCATGGCAGAGACCTGTCCAGAGTCCAGTCCAGCTGTGGCGTGCCAAGTAAAATGGCTTCACATGCCATGCTCTGGCACATGTGTTGAAGGTTGCTTGACCCCTGGATAGTACCTGGAGTTTTTATTTTTGTGTTGTCTAGTACGTTTGTGTTGGCATATTTTAACTACTCATATTTCGTAGAATGATTAATGTCAACCACCTTGCCTTATGCAGGCAATTAATTACTTGAGTACAAAAATATTTTTACTGAGACTACTTTCCACTGAATTGTATAGATTAGTAAATCAAAACTTTTGGTATGTGGTAGATATTTCCTGCATATTTTTTTAATTTTAAAATCTTGCAATCGGGTGTTTCCCAGTATATTCTGGGGAAAAGCAATGAAAAAAATAGCACCATGCTAGGAGAGAATAATGATTCTTTTTTCTTAGAATATAAAAAAAAAAAACCACAAACCCCCTTCTAAAAGTAATTTGAATATTTTAAGTGTATGAATTCCCTCCTTGTGTAATGCTACTGTGTTTTTAAAAAAGATTAGAAATCTAGATGTAAACAATCAGTTAATCTAAAATCATTCACTTTAATTTGTGAATTGTTTTTGCAATTTAATTGTCTCTGTTCTGTTCTTAAGATGTAATATGCACCTGGGAGCTGACATTTTCTTTTAGATGTACATTCACCAGAGCTGATGGTTTTTCCTTGTTTTCATTTGGAATTTAAAAATGAGAAATTCTTGCTAATTTTGCTTGAGATGTTTTGTTTCTAGGTGCCAACGTTAATAGGGCTACAGCTAATAATGATCATACAGTGGTGTCACTGGCATGTGCAGGAGGCCACCTTGCAGTAGTTGAGCTCCTTCTGGCTCATGGGGCAGACCCCACTCATCGGCTCAAGGTATTCAAATTAAATTACTCAGGACAATATACGCAGTTCTTATGATTGTTTGTTGTTTTTTTTAACATACAATTTAAAACTGCTGGGTAGCTGATGTTTGATATAAATGTAAAGCTGAAAAACTTTAATCCATAGACAAATCTCTGCATTTTTTATAATACAGAGTGCAGAAGAATTCACCTCATTGCATTTTCTCTCTCCAAACTATCATCCCAGGATGGTTCAACAATGCTCATAGAAGCTGCAAAGGGTGGGCATACGAATGTGGTTTCTTACTTGCTGGATTATCCAAACAATGTTCTGTCAGTACCTACCACCGACATGTCCCAGCTCACGCCACCTTCTCAGGATCAGTCTCAGGTAAAGTGTATGGTATTTCTACAATAACAAATAAAACTCTTCTGTAACTTTTTAAAAATTACTTAACTATTTCATTAGTCTTATTTCTGCTTTTTCCATTTAGCATCTTAGATTCAGTGAATGGTATCCTGTTGCATCTGCCTGGGATTTTTCAGTAGGGCCTAAGAGAACTAGGATATGGGTCAGCTCCAGTCCCTGCAGGTGGCAGGCTTTTGCCCCTTTCCCTTCACCTTCTTCCCCCCAGCTGCTACATACCTGACCCTTTTTTCTACATCAGGGATAAGCTTGCTAGCAGTGGAGCATGCAGTGTATGGAAGCAGTACAGAAGGGCTGTGTGGCACAGCATAGCCCCATGGTATCAACTTCTTCCATATCAGACCTCTTTGTGGGCCAGATCTAGCCTGAGGGTCATTGAGTGCCAAGCCCTGAATTGGGGGTAAAGTTTGTAGCTGTGTTGGTCTAAAAGACTGCTCCAATTTTTATCCGAGCCTAATTTGCATAAAATGAACTTTTCCAACCAGGAGAAATTACACCCCCTTCCAGCTCTCCTGTACAATATGAATTTTCATTTCTACCTGGGATAAATTTTTACAATCTTTGCATTCCCCTATGCCTGAGGAAGGGCACATGTACCTGAAAGCTTTCAAATAAAGAAGCCATGGATTAGGGTTTTTGATGAGTTAGCCACCTAATTCTCAAAACACTTTAGGAAAATCCCAGTTTACAAAAGAACCCAGAATGACAGCCGCGTGGTTTCCTACTTCCTGGATTATCCCGACAATGTTCTTTTAGTTCCTACTACAGACATGTCCCCTCATCTATCCCAACTTTTAAGAAAAGAGATGCTGACAACATATAGCTCAAAAACTGCATATATAGTACTCCAGTAAGGAGCATGTATGTATAATACATGTGTGTAAATTTAATTTGATGAATACTACATCAGTGGTATAACTAAACTGGTTACATACATATGCAGTGAATTACAAAGTTTCACTGAGCAGTATGTTCCATGCTTCCTGGCTGTAGTATAACTTGAAGTGGCAATGTTCACTATTTAAAATTGGGTAGGCTACTTATATAAAACACTGGAGACTGTGAACTGTAGTATATACTAGACAAGTGACTCCCAACCTAGATCCAGCCCATGGAGGGATCTGGCATTGCCCACCTGGCCCACAAGCCAGAAAGGCTGGGCACCATTGCTTTAAGCTGTCAGTAACAGAACTAAAATTCCAACATACAGAAAATAATATACAGCAGTTCCCTACTGTGACTCACCCCTTCTACAGGTAATGTGAAGAAGACCAGTTTGTTAATGTTGTCCTGAATGTTGTAGTCTTGTAGTGGATAACAAATGTTTCCTATGTGCCTAATTTACTTGTGTAATGGATAGTGTGGGCCTCCACATTTCTCTCTGGTCTTTCTGGACATGAGATTCTAGATGGTATTATTTACAGACCCAGCACAAGCATTCTATAACTGATTTGGAAGTAGTAGATTGGGAGGTATAGTATGTGTTAAGGAACATGGTATATTTGGAATGGGTAACATGCAGTGCACAGTTTGAGGCAAAGTGGAATAGTGTGTGTGCTAGCAAGCATGCCTCTGGTTGAATTAATGAAACCTAACCCTTTAAAAGTAAACGTTTACCAAGATGATCTTTTTCTTAATTTGATTTTTTTAATTAAAAAAACATTTTTTTAATTGATCTTTTTAAAGGTTCCACGTGTACCGGTGCATACACTTCCCATGGTTGTACCTCCCCAGGAACCTGACAGAACACCTCAAGAGAATTCCCCTCCCCTTCTGGGAGTACAGAAAGGTTAGTATGTAAGCCACTCTGAGGGTGCCTTGGTATCTTATCTTCTCATCTTAGCTTTTGGGGAAAATGGTTTGATGCTTTGAAAAGATATAGTGCAGTCCCACTCCATTGATCCTTAAACATCTGTAATGTAGGTGTAGTTCTGATAGAAATAGAATGTTCTCTTTAGTGTATAGTTCATATTTGTTTTGTAGTATCCAGTAGTAATATCTGTTACTGATTTTATAAATTAAAAAAAAAAAAAAATTCTTGAAGAACAAGTTCACTTGCAGACAAATTGCCAAAGTCAGGATTGAATAGTGTACTTGTATGTAAGTGTGGGTTTTATTTTTTTTTTATTTTTATTTTTTTTTAAGTCTTGCATACTGATTATACTTAAGGAGTTATAATGGATAATCATATACTCCTTGCATCAGCCTATTTTTCTGCTTATATTAATGACATGAATAGAGGTGTTGCAGAAACAAATATGTGCAGAGCTACTTATAGAAGACTCCTGGTAGTGTCCCCTGTAAGTTATGAATATATTGGGTCCTTTCATTTTAAGAGAGGCCAAGCTGACTTTAATAGCTTTCAGTCACTTAATGGTAAATTACATCGTTCATTATTGGACATGGATTATGTGTTGATATTGTGTTGAAAACTTGCTTCTGTTAAGTGAGTTGAGGAGGAGGAGAAGTTACTTCCATGTAGAGGTTGCTTGGGACTTGAATTTTTTTTAAATAAAAATAAAATAAATATTTAAAATTATAATGGGAAATGCGGTAGATAGTAGTAGTAAATCCGTTTTAATCTTTTTTTTTTTCATTCTGTGAGGTGTGGAATACCACATGGTAGACACAGCACACAAATGAATAGAGTAAACATAAGATAAAGATTGAATGTGGAACCACTCTACTTGTGCAAGTGTTATACATTGATTTTTATATACCTTTATTTCTCAAATGCAATTTAAAATATAGTTGAAGGAAAAACTTTAGATTAATATAAAATAAGTTATTTTTAATACATCAAGGTCCAGAAGACTGAATATGAGAAGAATATAAAGCAGACTATTTTGTTTTATACATAGTGAAAAAATGTATATATTTGAAATTAAATTTCAGTATTAAATCTCAGAGTTGCTTTGACATACATTTCTTTAAAAAAGCAAAACAAAACACCACCGCTTATCCTATTAATTATTTGGAAACCTTTTTGTAGTTAATGGGAGAGTTCAGTTGTCATTGTATTCATTTGAGTAATCGGAGGTAGTTGAATCAGATCAGTATCATGTCAGCTCAAATTTTCTGCACAAAATATTATTTGAAATAAAAGTTTTAAAATATTTGAAAGTATTCTGGAATAAGAATTAGAATAAGTTGCCTCAAACAAAATAGTTTATGCTTAACTAAATATGAAACAGAAGCCACACTTTGTCAGTAAATCTGAGTGATCTGTATAATAACATGTTTCTAGAACTGCTTTTGGGCAGTGTGTTGGTCTCCAAAAGAGAACATACGTTTTCAAGAGATTTTTAGGTGTGCTGACAAAACTAAAATGTTCCATCTTGGAGAAAAGGTAAAATACTGTCATGTGTCATTGGAGCTAATGGAGCATTATAGTGAGCATAGTATTTTTAAGTTGTTATGTGTATCTAGGGGAAATGATACTTTGCATACAATAGTTAACTTGTGTATAACCAGTTTAGAGTTGTCAGATTTTAACATTTTCTTCCTTACTTTGAGAATATGTAACCTTAATATCATGTTACTTTTATTATTTTCTCGGGGGAGGGGTGTTCTAGGGCAGGAGTCAGTAAAAGTCATGCTTATTATTCCTATGAACATTCTATGGTCTGATCAGTGTTGAGTTGACTTATGCTGGGAAATACAGATTAAGACTTAAATGGTTTAACAACTTTACCAGGTTTCTTGTTTTAAGTGTTTGCATAGACTTTATAACTTTCAAATGACAAAATGTCATTTCTTCCATTAGTATCTAACTACCGTCTCTTTTGGGAATCCATATACTAGACTTCTGCAACAGTTCCAATCACAATGAATACTTTCTAATTAAATATTATACTAGGACTGTAATAATACACTATTTGTAAAAATCTTCATGTGTATGTCAATTCTAAAAAAGTTTAGGAGCTGTTGTTTAGGGTTGTATAGCAAGTTATAAAATAGGTGACATGAGGATAGAGTAAGATTCAAGATGCATTTGGCATTATGTACAGTCAAACCCTGATAATATCACATGCATGGGACTGACAGAAACCTGTGATACTAAGGTGACAATAATGAGACTTGCACATGAAACAGCACAGGATGACCACAAGGGGAAAAAAAACTTTTTGTTCGCATTCCTTGAGTGTCTGCACAATGGACTTGTTTTCAAATAGCATCTCGGAGGGTGATGTCTTGGCTGTAAACTAAGAAGGGTTAGAGTTTATACCCTACTCCTTCTGTGTATCTTTTTATTTATGTAATTAGCTAATACAAAATTATAGTATAAGAAGTGAAATAAAAACCCTGAAAATATGCTCTGCTAAAAAGTGATATACTCACTGATTGGGGGAGAGGTTATATCACCATGCATTTAAAATTGGAAGAACTTAAGTCCCTCCAGTCCTTCTGTCTATGCCTGGCTCCCCACCATCCCCTGGAACCACAACTTACTTCACCCAATCTCTGCCCTTTTATTTACTCTTTGGCTTTTCAAGGATTTCACAAATACTCCTGAAAACTTACCCTGTGTAGTAAAACCTATTGCAATGTTTCTTCAAGAAGGTGTATTATTTTGCTAATATTTGTATGCTTACTGATTCAGAACATCATTCAATAGTGACATTAAGCAGTAAATTTATCCAGTCATGATCAGTTAAGATGTTGAATTTGAGTGGTTTGTGACAGTGTCCTGAGTGACAGTAATTAGAAGTTTTGCATTATTATGTATGGAAGTTAGCCATTGGTGACAGAAGTTGTGATTATAGGTGGAGTGTGATGAAGAGGAGTGATATTATCTGGGTTTGATTGTTTGTAAAACAATTACAAATTAATATTAACATGATTTAGGAAAAAATGAATGGTGACATTTTGACAGGAAATGTCAATAAATGTGTTGTGCAAGGATAGCAACCTGTTTAACAATGAGGTAAACAATAATCAAATGCAGGGGGAAGGAATACTACAATTTACAGAGTGAAAAGACCATGTTGGTGGCAATGACCATAGGTTTTAAGTAGATAGTGTGATACACTTAGATCAGTTTTGAGAGAATGAATCAAGAGCACAGTCATAAAGAAGTTATGATCATTTTCAACCCTTTCAAGTTTTGAATGGGAAATACTTTCACTTGAATTATAGGCATTAAGCTAAAATATTATCTTTGTGTAATAAGGAGCAATTGCAAAAAACATTCTCAGTTTTAATTGGGGAGGGGTGGAGGATATATGTATGTTACTACTCTTAGTCTTTCTTATCACCTGAATTTAACTTATCCATGTAAAGCTTAAACAGCAGTGAGTTTAATACCTTATGCATACCAGCTGTTTCAAATGCTAAATAAGTTTCATAGTTTCTTTTCTAAATGTAATGGAATAGAATCAACTCCTCAGCTTTAATAAGAACCAGAACCGCCACAGCTTAGGGGGTTTTCCTTTTAGCTGGGTGGTAAAAGCTACACTTCTTCAGTGGAAGGTCCAGAGGGTTTTTTATCAGTTTAAGTCCTTGCTAACTCTGATGTATGATACAGTAATGACACTTAAGCCTGAAGTGGGTCATGGGTCTGTTAGCTAATGAATGAGCATCTGGTGTTGCAGAACCCATCATGACTTGCTACACTGCTCTCTTCCATAAATTCAAACTGATAAACGCAATCAAATCTCATATCTCCTATGATGAAATAAATCTACTTACTCATCAGCACCCCACCCCCCACCCCCCAACCAAAAAAACCTCTGGCACTGAGTAGTAGATAAAGCTTTGCAAAGCTGAGCTATTGGAAGGGGTTACTTAATAATGTTTCATAAACTGTTCTTCCTGACATGTCAGTCTAGCAGACTTAATTCTATTTCTGCTGGCAAATGCAATTCTTCCCACTCATTCCCCAACAGATATAACCCTTTTGGTGCTGTATTATGTATGCTATTTTTTCCATAGACTTCTTTAGTCATCAGCTCTTCCAGGTATAAACTCCTTTGAGCATACAGTTACAAGAGGTTTTTTTTATTGTTGTTTGTTTTTAATTAAGGCAATTTTCTCCTTCTATGGAAATTAATGTTGCTAAGTCGCGTCCACTTGATAAAAAGAGCTGCCAGGATGCAGTAGCTTAAAATGATCATAGGCAAGTTTAAAATACTTGATATGAAATTGTCATGGATAACGGTACTCTTTTATAGCTGGTTTATAATGTAGTGCAACATTTAAGAGATGGGAATGAAGTTATTTTTTGCACTTCTAAGTTTTTTCAAGGAACAGCAGTATATGCTAAACTAATCTTCTGCAGAACATTTTCAATTAATGTTACAGTATTGCTCAGGAGATGCTTTTAGACGTTAATTTTAAAAATTGCACTTGCTTAGAAAGCTATGCACTAAGAACATGTTTAGGAAAGCCAACGGAAGCAATTTCTTTGGATTTAGAGCAAAATTCTTTTTTTTTTTTTTTTTTTTTTTTTTTTTTTTTTTTTAATTAAACAAGAAATATTTTAGGAGTTTATGAATAAATTTGAACTAAATGTCTATTTTGAAGTGTAGGTTATCAATTACTTAAGCTTCTGCAAATGGGAGTTCCATTTTTAATCTGGTATTATTACACACAGATTAACTAAGAGACTTAACAGAGAAGTTGAAACCATCACGCATGTCACTGTTGAATTTGGCTTGGGATTATGCAAGAAGTTATGTTAAAAGACTTTGCCTTCATTTGCAGTTACTTTTACATATACATTGTCCATAAATGTTCTTGATTACTGAGCACTGGACCAGAGTACTGTGTTAAGTCGTCTAGGTATGT